TAAGGACACTGGGGATGTGGTCCCTCCCCCGTGGCTCCAGTCCACCAGAGTGGCTCCTAACCAGTTGGCATTGGCCTCAGCCTCCACACAAGGCAGATCTAGGACTATTTGAATCCACAAGATAATTGGCTGCCACTTGAAAATAGGCAGAATCAACAAACTCCAGCTCAAGTGGGGATTTGTCCAGATGATCTGCTTTCTATTTTACTCCACGGCACAGGTTCCAAAGCCCACGGTTTCAAACAGACCTCCTAGGGCCTTTCATGGTGTTCCTCGAGCTTATGCAAACTGGGCATCTCCACGTTCGGGCTGGGGGTGCTGACCTCCCAGGGGCTAGAAGGGTCCTTGGGGTTTCCTGGTGTTTGGACGCAGTGGGGTCCCAGTGTGGCCTCAGCCTGGCTAGGAGTGCCCAGTAAGGCCTGTAACTAGCTGCAGGAGCAGCGCTGTGCCTGCACTGGGGCTTGGTGGGGACACGTGGCCTGAGTGCCCACAGGCAGGACAGAAAACGGGATGTGTGACCTTGCTTCCCTGCCGTGTCAACGTGTGCTGGAGGCACTGGGCTGCTGAAGCCTCCTGGGTTCACACCTCGCAGAGGAAAGGAATCGGGAGCAGGAGAGAGAGATGGAGCAGGTTCGCCACAGGGCAGAGCCGGATGTCGGAGGACGTGGGTGGGCTGACAGCCAGCCCTGCCGCTTGCTAGTTCTATGACCTTGATTCATAGGTTCAGCCCTCCTAGGCCTAGATTCCTCATCCATGAAACAGGATTATAGTGGATCCTACCTCACAGTCTTGGAAGGACCAAATGAGATCAAGTTTACATGAATTTTTAGTTATACCTCTAATAGGATTGTCACCTCTTGCCCTTGACCGTGCTTGGCTGTCCCTCTCTTTGGTCCATCAGGTTGAGAAATGGCTGCTGCACTGCGGAAGTTAACCGAAGCATACAGAACAGCACTTGACTGTCGGCTCGGGACTCGGGACTCTAGTGCACATGCCGCGTCGACTCATCAGCAACCCCGCCAGACTGCATGCTCCCTGAGGACACGGCCTTCGCCTCCTGCTTCTTGGTAGGTGGTGCATTTGGATCCTAAACTCCTTGGCAGAGATGGTGGGATGTTCTGTGTGGTCTCATTATGCCAGCTGCTACCTGGGTGCATTCAAATCAGTAACAGCCACCCCCAGCCCACTTGCTCCCACGCCTCGCAGCAGAAAGTGTCTGCTCCAGAGACGGCAGGGGCAGGCATTTCAGTGTCTTTATCTCTGGTCAGTGATGGGCATTTGATGATTAGCAAGGTAAACATTAGAAATGCGTTCTCATTGGTGAAGACAGAGGTATTCAAGATATGTGGGTTGGCTAAATGGATTCAGAGACACTCTCGACTCAGGAAAGAGCAGGTGAAAGAGTCCAAGAGAGCTCCAAGGAGGTGTAGTCAGGGCAGCAGGGAGCAGATTGCTGGGCTTCCCCGAGGCCATGGGACAGCCTGTGCAGACTCCGCTGGGCCTATGTGCAGTAAATATTTGCCCAAAAATGTGTACCTGTGTGGCAGAATTTGCTCTGAGGCTGCTTTCATTCAAACTTGATAATGAGGCTGTCTTCACCTTCCTCCAAGTTTTCTGTGGCTGCTATCGAACAAATAAACACAGCAGCAGCCGCCGCAGGTTTCTGGTTAAACCTGGGAGGTGCCTGTGTGACCCAAGGGACTTAGGTCAGTTCACGCCTGGCATGGAACTTCCAGGGCAAAGTGTATGGAGAGGATCACAGGATGAGAGAGGTAGTGACACTTTCAACTTGATGGTGGACAGTGGGGGCTGGGTCCCTAAGGCAATAACCCTCATCCAGAACCCTCCTGGGTGGCCACTACCCAGCGCATGCTTAGGGTCCTTAGCTGCTCGGGGCTGCTGTGCCTACCCGGCTCGCAGAGGCTCAGCCGGCTTCCTGGAATGAGGAAATGCTGCCCAGCCTTTGGGAAGCCCTGGAACTATAGCCAGCGTGCAGGTCACTGTCTAGGCTCTTTCCATACCTGCCACTCAGCCTGGGAAATGGGCTCTGCCCTAGGCCTGTCCCTCTAGGTCCCAAGGGACAAGCCATGCAAGGGAGCACTTGGGCGTGCACTGCCAGCTTCCCCCTTTTCATGGGGAGGCCCTGGAAGGAACTTCCAGCCACGCTGAAGAAATGGGGGCTTGGTCACTGCCCCCAGCGGGAAAAGGTGAACCCCCACTCCCTGCAAGTCTCTGCAAAGGCCGGTGGGGAGGAGGATCACACTGACAGGCCCCCTAGGGACCCTTTGGAAATTCCTCAGCGAAGGGAGGGGGAGCAAGGCCACCCCTTACTAGAGATGACAACTCAGGGGGAGCTACTGTGTGCTGAGGCCATGTGGCAGGGCCCTGATGTGGGGAGGAGCCTGATGCTAGACAGCTGCTGTTAGAGAAGAGATGCCCCCTCGATGGCTGTGGCCACAGGGAGATGGGGCTACGACTCAGCACGGTCCTTCTCTCGAGAGTGGCTGATGGATGAGATTTGATGCCGTCTGATAGAGCTGAGCAGGCAGGCAGTGCCCAGGAGGAAAGGCGATGATGTGGGAGCGACCTCCTCTCACTGCGCTGCTCGCCTTCTCTCTCCATGCTTGCCCTTCCTCTCCAACACTTCTCAAGAGGGAAGCGGTAGGGGGTCAGGGTGGCCTTTAATGGACAGGGCAAGGGACCTAACCAGGGAAAAGCTGAGACCTGCAGCCATCCCGACTCATCCTGGCAACAGGGCCCTCAGTGGCAGCTCAGACTCTACAGGCGATTGCAGAGCCAGTGAGGCTCACCTGCCGCCCCTTCTAAACTCTGTTCCCACCTGTCCCATCCTCCCTGCTCCGCACCTCCCCCGTGCCTGCCTTGTAGCCCATCCTCAGCCCTTCAAGGTCTGTTTCAGTCTGTGCCTTTCCTTTCTGTCTCCACATGACAATCCAAGTGTCGGGGTGCATTTGTATAGTAAGAGCCATCCACGCTAATCCTAAGGGATTTCTAGTTAGTGGCACGTGAGTGCCCCCCGAACCCTAGTCTGGAAACCAGGGGCAAAGTGCTCAGTTATCATTCATCTTCTGCCTTTGCAAGCAGCTCAAGTCCCTTGGGACAGCACAGCTCCCAAAGGGTTCTGGGAATTCCAGGAGCTCCTGCAGGGTCAAGGGGGTTTTCTGAGATCAAGATTTGCCTCGAGAACACAGGCAGCCAGGCTGTGAGAAGCCTAGCAAGTAGTTTCGTCCTCATTGGCCTGGGGCTCTGTGGCTCTCTCTCAGCAAATAGTTAGGCAAGGCCTTAATTTATTTCCCTGCCAGAGTCCCTCTTGGAGGGGGGCCAAGCTAGTAGACAGGAAGGCGGGGACTGGCAATTTAGTGGAAATCCAAGCATGTAATTGGGAGGACCAAAAGAACAGGAGCAAGTGCACAGGGAGTCTGGGCAGGCAAGGGGCAGAACAGGGTGTGGGGGAGCAACCCTTTCTTCTGCTTCAGATGTGAAGAACTGAGGCTGGCCAGACCCGGTGGCACAGCCTTGCAAGCTCCTGATAGAAGAAATGGCTTTCCCGGCTCCACAGGGTTCCTCAACCTGGCAGGGGACCTTCTCAGGTCACGAGATGAGCCCCACTGCACAGCTCTCATTTCTTCTGGGTGTCAGTGGTTTCTGCCCCTCTCTGGGCCTCAGGGGCCTGGGATTTCCTAAAGCAGCCTTCCTTTGAGAGCACTGTCCCAGGAGTCAGGCACGTGGGCTGACTATCTCTGCTCTCTCACCAGGTGTGGGAGCCACTTCTGAGTCCCATTGGCAAAACAAGCATAATAGGGCAATGGGGAGGATGGAGTCACCAAGGGATGCGAGGGGTTTCCAAGTTGCCAAGTCGTGCACTATCCATAAATATGCTCAAGACAGAAGAGCTGTCATCTTTATCCAGTCCAAGCACAGCCCATGGCTGCTTTCCAAGCTCCTTAAAAACACGAAGCAGAAGTTCCTATCCTTCCGATGCGCTCAGGTGACAGGAGCCACCTTACCTCTGCTTTCCTGACTTTGAACACGCTCTCCACTCTCCATCCTGAGCTTAGCAGGGCGCAGGACTGTGTCTACGTGTCAGTGGGAAGCTGCTTTGGAGCACGTGTCCCTTGGGGAAAACCCTGTGGATGAGGACCTGGTCTACTCTTCTGGGATTCTCCAGCAATGACGGGGAGTTTGTGGAAGCTTGACGGGAGAACCTGCACTTGCAGGCATAAGGCAGTGGCCAGCCCCTAACCTAGAGCCAACCCTCCTTCCAGATCTTCCCAGGAGGCCCTAGTCCTCAGAATTCCCTCCAAGCCCCACCGGGAATAGAAACCAGGTAGTAAGGGGTTTGCGAAACAGCAATACATCCAACCTGATTTAGCTGAAGAAGACACCCCACCCCTTGTGGTCTGTGGTCCTGTGTCTCGGCGACTCTGAGTGGCCAGCTTCACGGCTGACCTGCTCATTCCCGGGGGCCCACTGGGCTGTGCCCTTCCCTTGGGTCACATCGGCTTGGGTCCTTAGAGCAAAGGGTGCCCAGGTGCCCTGGGCCACTTCTCCTGAGTTAGGGACTGAATTCGTGAGGACAGAAACTTCCATCTCACCAAGACTGAAGACAGGAGCCAGGCTGGGCTTGGAGGTCACCAGTCGCCTGGGAGTGGACCCGAGAGGCTGAGTGGGGCCCTCCCTCTCAGATGGCAGACCCCAACCCTCCATCCAGAATCCGAGCCCGGACAGGGCCAGCAGGGAGCTGGGAAATGAGTCCAGCCCTGGCTGCCGGGCTCCCCGGGGAGGGCAGCGAGCCCGCAGGAGCGGGAGCGCATGACCGGCCTCTCCCGGGGGCGGTGGGCGCGCGTCCCCTCCGGGGCGCCTGGGGATCGGGCTGCTCCGCGCCACTGCTCGCGCTGGGGACCCGCGACGCCCCAGCCCCTGCCCGCCGCGGCCACACCTCCCAGCCCCTGGGAAAGTCCCCGCCGCCGGCGCGAACCCACCTTCGGGGCGCCCAGGGGCCCTGCTGGGGACTCTTCGGGGTCCCCGCCGCCTCCTCCTGCGCGGGTCCCCGCTGCCCGGCTCCGGCCCGGCCCCAGCTCGGCGCTCCCGCCTCGCCTCCCCAGCCCCGGTGAATCCTCGGCGCCGCTCGGTTCGCTCCTTTCGGAGGGGACGTTTTTTCCCCGCGTTGCGTCAGGGCCGTTGCCTGGCGACCGCCGAGCTCTCAGCCGCGAGCCTTTCACCGCGGTCCCGGCCTCGCTCCTCGCCCCGGGTCCGAGCGCGCCCCGGGTCCTAGCGCCCTGCCGGTTCCCCGGCCCAAGCGGCCCCCGCGAGGAGAGACGAACTGCACACGCCTTCGCCAAACCCCAGATGAAACCAAACCCAAACATCCATTTTCTCATTAAACCCGAAACCAAGGCAGTTTCCCTCCAGTTGTGGCGACGTGGCTGCGCCACCGTCAGCAGTTTGTCCACGTGGAGGAGGCAGGGGAACCCCACGCCCACGGCCTCGCCCACCCACACACGGCTGGAGTTGACAGGACCCGAGGCCACAACTGCTCCCGAGTGCCCACCGTGGGCCACACCCCCCGACGACCCAGCAGGGCCGGTAGGTGTGGGCATCTCTGGCTGCCAGATGAGGAAACTGAGGCGCAGAGCGTTTGCCCCACTAACCACAGGGTGTCCCGCCGGGGGCGCGGCATGGGCCACCTCCGGCTGTTATTGGGTTCTAAGAGCCAGTCCCTGCTCCATCAGGGCCAGAGCTGCAAACCCGAAGGCACCCGCAGGACAGCAGCCCGAACCGCCAGGTGGCAGGTCTTCAGGACCAGTCCCACATGCGGACGAGGAGCCCAGGCCAGACACCGGAGGCCCCAAGGCTGGTTACTGGATGGGGGCCTCTTACCCCCAGACCTCATCAAGCACCTTTCCTAGATGCCCGGGGCTGGAAGCGTCTTTCAAAGCGCTCCCACCTGCCGTTCTCACGACAGCCCTGGGCGTGCGTGCAGGCGCCGTCCACACGAGCAGACGCGAAGCTGAGTGGTGGGGCTGCAAAGTGGCTGGGAGGGCTCCAGGCAGGTGCGCGGCTGGCGCGGCCTTCTGTGGGGCCTTAGCCCCTGCAGGTGCCCGAGACCCTCGTGCTGCCCTCTGGTGCCCGTGTCCTTCACTGCAACTCCGCATCCAGCCCTGACCTTCACTGGCAGGTTCTCTAAGGGACATGGTCTAAGGAGACCTCTTGCCAGCACAGACCTACTTATGCTAATGGGGCAACGGTCCTAAGCTAACAGGTATTAACAGGCGTCTTTTGCGGAGTCACAGCGTTGATGCAGACCTTCTGATTCCAGCTCCTAAACATCTCTCCACTCCTTCCTGCCCCCTGCCACTGTTCCTACCCAAGCCACCAGCAGCTCACCCTACCCAGTTCTGGGACCTGCCCCACCCCCCACCCCCGGGTCCGAGCGCACACACACTCTCCTCACTGATCTCCCTTTACCCACTCTCAGTGGCTCCCAAGCCAGTTACTCCACAACCAGCGGAAACTCTTAAGGATAGAAATCCAATCTCAGCTGTTGCTGCTTAAAGGCCTTCAACGCCCCCAGTCCTCTGAGGATTAAGAGCTAGCTTGGCTGCAGGGGACTGATTGGCCTCTGTCGTTCTCTAGGGCCTTTTGCATGGCCCCTGCTCTCCAGACAGATGCTCTTCCAGTCCCTCTGTGCACCTGCCCACTCCATGGGCTGCTGCAGCTCCGCCTCCCAAGGGAACCCCAGGTTACAGGTGCTTGCAGCGCCCCCCCCCCCAGCTCTCCTTCATGGACTAGTTATAATTCCAAGTTTTTTTGTAAGGTTATTTGATTAGCGTCTCTCTCCCTCCATCCAGACTTGGGGATGCAGCATCTTTCTGGGTGCTGGCTATCCCTGAGCACAGTGCCAGTGCTGAGCGCTGGGAGGCCGCGTTGCTCACTGCTGTGCCCAGGGCCCTGGCATGTGGTGAATGCTCTAAGGTCTTTTTGGACGGGCCATTCAGCCCCATCTGGAAATGTTTTGTACTACCTTCACCTCCTGGCTCTCTGTTTGGCCTGTGGCTTCTATTTCTGGGAGTGCAGGTGCTTCTCATGTGGGAAACTGTCGCATGTCTCAAATGGACAGGCAGCCTGTCCAGGGCAGGGATGGTGTCTTGCCCTGTGGCTACCGTTCTGCCTGGCATGTGCCTGTGGGCAGGAGAGTGATCAGTGATGGGACCCGGAGGGGAGTGGGCCAGAGAAAGGAGGAAGGGGAGGAGGAAGAGCAGTCTTGGTTGGAATAGCCTCAGCTCTAACATCAAACCATATGGCGTGGTCACATAAGTGAGTTAGCACAGAATGGTATGTAGCCATAGAAATAATATTTTCAAAAACTGTTTGATCATAAAGAAAAATACTAATGATTTAATGCCAAGTAAATAAGACTGGGACACCAAATCCTGTGTACATTATGAAACTTCTCATTCGAATATCTAATTCATATGTATGCATGGAAGAAAGACTGGAAGAGTATATGCAAATATTAGCTGTGGTTATCTCCAGGCTGCAGCATAATGGAGGCTTTCGGTGTCTTCTGTAAGCCTGCATTCATTTTCTACAATGAATCATTTTGCAATGAGGAACATCAAGAAACACTACGAAAAAGGAAATATGGCACTGTGTTGGTCTTCCTGATGGTGCTGCCTTTTGTGTAAAGCGCTCTGAGACCCACTGGTGGTCTCAGAGTTGCCCCTGGGCAACAAAGCAAGAGACCCTGTCTCAAAATCAAAAAAGATTTAAAGTATTATCTTTCAGAATTTCTCCCAATTAATGTATTCATCTGTTCAGTAAATAGGTATTAGCACCACTAAATATCCGACACTGTTCTTGGCTCTTCGGAAATGTTAGTGAACAAGTTAGCTGAAGGACCTCGCCCTTGAGAGCTGCCAGTCTAGCAGAGGAAACCAGGCAGGCGCTGACCGACAAACACGCTGAGTAAATGAGCAATAGAGTGAGTTGCAGATAGGTAGAACTGTAGACTTGGATTGGAAGTAATGGCAGAGGAGGGGCCAGGGTGGGCACGTTTCCAGGCAAGGTGAGCAGGGGCTGGCCTCGCTAATAAGGTGGTTTCCTAGCAAAGATTTGAGGGAGATGAGGGAGGGGGTCTTGTGGTGTCTCGGGGAAGGGTGTTCTAGGCAAAGGAACAGTCAGTGCGGAGGCCCTGGGCCAGCAAACGTGCCTGCCACAAGCAGGGGCCAGCACGGGTGCCTGGAGGCCAGAATGCAGCAGGCAGGGAGTGGAGCCGGTGTGGGAGATGATGTCAGAGGCAGGCAGGTCGGGTGCTGGGGCAGAGCCTGTGGGCCTGGCAGACCCTGTGCGGACTGGCCTTCTCCCGAGCGGGCACTCCGAATGCACAGCTGAACAGGGCTCTACATTCTTGGCTCTCTCGGGGCACAAAGCCCTTTCTAAATCAGTCCCTCCTGTTCCCTCTCGAGTTTGTAAGCTGTTTGAAGGTGATTCCTGGGTTCCAGGGATCTGAGAGAAGAAAGGCTGAAATTTCTGTTGGGCTCTGTAGGGCAGAGGACCCTAGGGTGGCAACATTCCTGCCCTGCTCCAGAGAGAAATGAAGACTCCCAGTCTGGGACAGGAGACCACCAGCCTCTGCTGTTTGCTTGTGGAAGGAACTTTTCCATCCGTGGGCCCAGGGTTTCAAGAGGAGCATGAAGTGACTGTCTTAGGCATGTTGAAAAGCGATGGCTCTTGCTGCCTTCATGTCTCAGAAGAGGCTGCTTTGGGCTGAAGCTCAGAAGGGCAGTGAGGGCCAGCTTTCTGCCCTCTAGGGAAGCTGTTAGTTCAATTGAGGAGCGGCTGGCTCTGTGCCACCCGGGGGTAGACATGGGGGTGTGGCGCATGTGGCTTCTTGGTAGGAAGATAATGAACAGAGCAGTCACCACACAGAGCATCCACCTCAGTGCTGGAGGAGGGAGGTGACAGATGCCACTTGAGCCTGGGTGAGGAGGAGGAGTGGACTGCAGCTGGAAGAGGTGCCCATCCTGAGGCAGCAGAGGGAACAGCATCTGGAAGGGCATGTGCGGAGGCTTCGTGCAGAGCAGGAGGCAGGTGAGCGGCAGGTGAGGAGCGGCAGGCGCAGGGGGTACAGCTGCAGGGTTCAGCGCAGCTGCAAAGGCAGGGTCTGAGGAGGGAGCTCTAATAGCTCAGAGGAGCTGAACAGGTGAGAGGTCGGGACAAGATGCCCAGGCAGAGGTTGCTCCCATGTTACTGAGAGCTCAGGGCGATGGGATCCCCTGCATGTCCCAGGTGATAATGACACTGGGACAGCAATGGAGATGGCGACAGCAGGGACACGGATTCAGGCAGACCCCGGTCACATCCTAGCTCCTCTGGTGATTAGTATGTGCAATGTGCAGTCACTGAAGTTTTCTGAGCTACAGCTACTTCATCAGTAAAATGGAAACTATTTTACTATTTACCATACTGTCTTGGTCCACGAGCAAGAGGGCTGCCTGGGCTGGATTTTAGAGAGCCCTGTCCTGTACTTTCTCCAGGCAAAAATGGCTGCGGGCCAGGGGGTGCCCACTCAGAGTCCACTCCCTCCCTTCCACCCAGGACCCTGAGGACCCAGGACCCAGGACCCAGGGATCTCCTGCCCAGATGTGCGACATTCAAGCTTGTGTGGCCTCTTCCTGGTCTACAGGGTTTGGATGAAGCCTGGGCTCTCAGGCTGGGCTGTTCCCCTGCCCAAGCACTGGGTGGGAAAAGTAAGAAGGAGCCACAGGTGGGGGCCCAGGCCTCACTCCCACTTCCCTTCTATGTTCAAGTGTCCAAGGATGAAACCAGAGCCTCGCCTTTGACGTTGTTGTAAAAGTATATCTGTCAAAGCGGGAGGAAAGAATGAAATCTATTTTCCAGTTGATTAACTTGATTTATAACTTTCAAATATTTAGAGACCTGGCATGTGGACCTCCCTTTGTGCATTCGCTTTGGCCCTCTCAAATGGGACTGATTTGGGCCTTTCTTGCTGGTTTATTTAAGGAGCAAATGACGCAGCACACTCCACACAGACACGAGTGATCGCCTTCTGAAGCCCGCTCCCTTCCTTCATGCTGTCTTAGAGTCCATGGAGTTTGCTGCTTTATCTTGTGAAAATCGTCTTGTAAGATTGTCTTGTAAGATCTGCTGTGGGACGT